GCAAAGCCTGAGTACTTATATTAAGTTCACTAATACATATTATGCGGCAAGCTTAAGATGTTGCTTAAAATTTGATTTCAATTTCAGAATGCCAATTTACCAAATTATTATTCCGACGAAGCCCGTTCATATTTTCGTTTAGAGTGAAGGTTGGGTTATTGCCATAAATACTCAGTGCCAGCAACGGCAGTTGGATTCGAATTACTGTAACGTAGGCCGAATGAAACACGCTAGTTTATAGGTTACATGAGTCCAGTACCGTTAAGTTACATTGATATAATTACCTATGAAACAATGAGTAATATGCCAACTTGTATAGTAAAAAGAGGCTTTAATGTCGGCAGGAAGTCTTAAAATTAAACTCGATACATTACCGAATCAGTTTAGTGGCAATTCCGTCACACTTTGGCTAAGAAATCTCCTTTAAGATGCATTGCAAAGGGAATGGGAGTTCTTTAGCCTAGAATTTTTCAATATGGGCATCGTATAAACACAACGGCCGAAATATGATTCTGAAAAAGACTTGGTTTGAGTCAGGGCCATGAAAAGGCTAGATTCGCACCAGGAAAATGCCTCCGTATACTAGGCCTCCATTTTGCGGGAACATGTATTCCGTGATAGTCAGCCGGAGAGAGGTAGATCACGCACTGATACAGTTCAGGTTCACCAGACTTGATTTTTTTGTTAGGGGAGCTGGGATTCAGACTTTTCTGGTAGCCAACGGGACCCAGAAACTGATCCAGCGAATACTTGCGACCTTTTATCTGCTGCGGGAACGGTTCAACAGGACTAACACGACCAATATACATGATTTGACCGTCTGTAGGACTGACCTGAGAAATTTAGAAGGTAGAAAATTTTTGTTCGATGAAGGAAATATATTAGGATAAGGAAAATGCGACTAGTCTGGTAGTTAGAAAAAGCACACAATGCTAAGCTCATAGATTTAGTAACAATGAGACGAAGTATTTCCCATGGTATCCTAAAATCGATGATAAAGTATTGCTGAAGATTGCTAAGGAGATACATAGGTATGTAAAGGACATAAACCAATTAGCGGCAGTCTACAGCAATGTCTG